CGCGGCCACCTCTGCACTTGCCTCCCTGAGGAATGAGCCTCAGCCATCCCACCTGGCTCTGTGAAACATGACACAACCCCACAGAGCACTGTCCAGCTCTCAGGCACGTTCCCAGAGGTGACTCATCTGGTCCTCTCAACAAGCGCGTGAAGGGCACAAGGCATTGAAAGATGAGCTAGAGCCTCAGAGAAGTCCCAAGAATTGCCGGAGCTGACTCAACAATTGGAAAACGGGAGAGTCACAAAAACAACCTGACTAGCAAATCTGACGTAGATTGGGGGATTACTATGTATCAAGTTCAGAGGCAGGGACCAACCACAGGCTAGGTTTCACACCCCAGGCCGTCTAACTTTCCCAATAACCCGCTTCTTAGGGGAGGAAACAAAAGCCCAGAGAGGCCAAGCATCCTCCCTAAGGTCACACAGCCAGGAGGGCCCGGAACTCGCACGGCACTGAATTTTCTAACATATGCCTCAACAATCTCTCTGGACCGTTTCTCCATCAGGAAAATTCATTTCATGAAGAACACGAGCATCCTCATGTCCCCTGATCATGCAACAAGGAGCGTCCAGGCCCCCGGGAGAGCTAAACGCTGGGAGCTGGTCCTGGCTACTGTTTATTTATTGATGCCACTGCCTCCCACTACGCCCCGGCAGAACCTCTGGGTGACTCAGAGACCTTGCCACCAGCAGCTGCTCTTCGTTGGAGCCAGATAAGCCTCCCCAGGGGAGGGGAGGGCCGGGGCAGTTCCTGGTAATCGGTAGAGCTGAAACCCTCTCCCCAGAACCCCCACCCCCTCTGACGGGTGATATAGATGGTGGCAGACAGATAGATGGGAGAGAAAGACCCCCACCCCCAGCAACTGCCCTGCAAAATGACTTTGAGAAGACAAAGAAAGAGGACAAAGCCTGCCCACCCCCACCAGGAGAAATAACCCACTTCCCAGCGGGTGGGCAGGCGAGAGAGCTCCCAGAGCACACAGGACGCACCTTGCGTGGGCCCTGGACTCCAAGCCCTTCCCGTGAAGGGCCTAGGAGCCCAAAAAGAAGAACGTATCTTCAAACTGTATTGGTCTCCAAAAGCTCTTCTCTTTACCTGACCCCATGAGCCCGAAGAGAAGAGCCTCCTGGGTCCTAAGGTCAGAATAATGAAACACGGTTTCTGTTTTTGTTTAAGGCAATCAGATTTTCTTCTAAACATCTCGGAGCCCCTGACTCTGCCCCTTTTTTGGACAGCTGAAAATCACCCCCCAACTTGTTCTGATATGCCCCCTTCTCCCAACAGGCCTGCCTTGCCCACGGGGTGGTCCCCAAAGCCTCTCGGGTTAACCAGACACCGCAGGGAAGAGGCGTAAACTCACCCAGCGGGGCGCGGGCTTCCAGGGGCCAAGGCTACCATGCCAGCCCTCTGCCCCCTGCCGAGAGAGTTCACATGCAGCCCACACACGAACTTGCTCAGGCATGGCAGCGGGGCTGGAGAAGGGCTAGGAGGTCGAGCAGAGACCCTGCTGGAATCTGCCCCCTTCGTCACTTTGGAATTCCATTGGCCAGTGTCCTCTCAAGCCGTCTGACTCTCAACACTCATGCGGGAGGAGGGGGCTGCCATCCTCACCCACAGGCTCCAGGTGGAAAAGCCAGGACTCAATCTCCCGGGATGAGGGAGGGATGAGGCCAGCAGCCACCAGCAGCCACCGGCCCCCCATGGGGAGGTACTAACATTGAGAGACCAAACACTAGCTGGCCGCACTGAGGTAAGAACAGTGTCACTGACTCGACTTTGTAAATGAAGAAAGTGCAGCTCAGAGAGGCTTAGGAACTGCGGCGAGGTCGCACAGCCATGAAACAGCAAGGCTTCAAGCAAGGTTGTGTTTTGCAGGGCACCTGGGCCCCCCAGGGTCTGCACAGGGTCACCGTGAGGGAAGTGCTGTGAATCACTCTCCAGGCCGAGTCCAGAGACCAGGGGTTCTCCACGAATAGCCATGGGGCTGCTTCATGGCTGGAGCGTACGAACGCCTGGGACGTGCCTTCCCATCTGGCGAGGCGGGTATGCCCCACCTCCTACATGTGAAGAAGCCGAGGTTCACAGAGATCCAGAACGCCAAGCGCACCTGTGAGAGCGCGGAGACGCCGGTGTCCGCCTCGCCAGCCCTCCTCCTGCTCAGCCCGGGATTCCCAGACTGAGTAAGCGTGCCAGTGCCCCTACAAGAAGTGTCTCACGTGTCCCAGCTCAGAAGAGACACTGGACAGTCCCCTGTCAATGTGTGTTCAAAGGCCCAGACGAGGAAGGAGATCTGCCCAAGATCCCATGGCCACTGGGGGACCAGGCAGGGAGCAGAAGTTGCATCCCTCGGCTCCAGGTAGTGTGGCCCAGCAGCTTTAGGATCAGAAAGAACTGTGTTCCAATCCTGCCTGTGTGCCCTGGGGAGACTAGCTTTGCCTCTCTGTGCTCGTTACTTCAATGCCAGAAAGAGACCATGATCACAGTGCCTGCCGCATAGGTCTGCTCTGGGCTTCGCATGGAATAACGTGCCTTGCAGGGACCTGCTTAACAAACAGTGGCTGCTCCTCCATCACTACCCACAAGGGGACCCTTGAAGACACGGGGCAGGTGCGCAGAGCGACCAGACAGGAGAGGAAGTGGCCGTCTCAGTTCTCGCCGTGACCGCTCCTTATGTTCTGGTGCCCAAGCCCACCCGCCCCTCCTGGGAGGAGAAGCGCTAACCAGGACCCCCACGATGGGCTGTTCCAGGGAGTAGCCGATAAAGGAGAAAGACGGGGCTGTGGGCCGTGTGATGAGTAGGCGCCTGGCCGCGGCGGGAGAGCAGGAGTCCGAGGCTTGTGAAGGCCGAGCGGAGGGAGCAGAGCTGGGCCTCGTCTCCCCCACTCACTGTTCCCAGGTCCCCTGGACAGTTCTGCCCACCGCTGCAAGCCCAGGAGAACCTTCCAGCCCTCCAAGTCTCCCCGGACCCTCAGCAGCCCCTCCCTGGGTGACTCTGTTCCCTGCCCTGCTTGGCCATGGGATGGCGAGCACACCGTCCATTGCACGGGGCTGCAAGTCCCCCCTGAGCCAAGGGCATGGCTTCCTGAAGACCAGGAGCCTCGGGAGCTGGACCGTGATCCCAACTCCAGTGCCTCCCGGGGCCCAGCACAGCGTCTGCATCCTCCAGAGTGGGGACTGAGTTCTTACGAAAGTCTGTCTCTCCCAATGACAGAGAGGGCACCCAGTTCTAAGGCCCCAAGAGCATTCCACAGTGGGCGGTGTTACACACACACACACACACACACACACACAGACACACACACAGACACACACACACACACGGCTTCCTGCTCTGCCTTCTCTTGCATAAATAACCTACCTTGGGCAAGTTATGTGGCCTTTCAAAGCCTCAAAGTTTTCAACTGTAAATGGGCACACCACTGCCGGCCTCGTGAGACTGCTGGCCTGCTTACATTAGGCAGACGCTCAAAATGAGAGTCCTTCCCCTTTGTCTGTCCTTTCCAGGGACGCTAAAGGAAAACCACTAAGAGTCACCATCTGATCCGATCGACAATGATGCAATGAATCAGATTCCTACTGTGTGTTTAGCCTGTGAGCAAGATAAACACGGTTCCTGAGCTCAGAGAGATTACTTTGTAGTGTGGGAGAAACGACAAGAAATCAAATACCTTGCATGAATGAGTATAATGTTACTAGGCACCCAGGAGCCATGAACCAGGGCAGTGGAATAACCACAGGGCCACTATTTCCGCCAGGGGTCAGGCGAAGGCTCTCTGACAGGTACCACAGGACGTAAACGAAACTTGGGACCCAATCGAAATTGAACTCCAGACCCTACTCCAAGTGCCAAGTAGCCCCAGGTGACCTGAGCACTCACATACTGGCTGTGCGAGCTGCCACCCTCCACTGGGTAGCCCAATGCTAAGGCAACATCCCACAGAGCCACCCACCTCACAGCAGCCAAGTCCAGGGGTAGGGATGAGGGTGGGGGTGCAGTCCTCCCACTTGTAAACTGAAGAAGCGCCACAGACCTTCGCTGACAAGTCCACTGCTCCCTCCCTCATGCTAATGCAAGCTCCTTTCCCTCACTTGCTGCTGACCTGCCACTCAGCCTTCCCATGGGCTCCAGGCACTGTGACCTCTGATCGACTGTGCATGCCAACTGGCAGTGCCCAGTTCAAAGTCCAGCACGGCCCACCTGGCTCTTCCCAGAAAGAATTTCAAGGCTCAAGCGACACCCACCCTCCCCAGACACCTTCTCCCAAGCAGCAGAGAGCCCTCCCACGTGCTAAGTGACTGCTATGTGCCAGGCACGATGCTGGCTCTCAGCACTTCAGCCTCTATGTTGTGATCCTTGACACAAATCTTGTGAAATATGACATTACTTCACCCTTATTGAATAGAGAAGGGCAAGGAAATCTAGCAGTCACTTGCTCAGGGTCACACAGTAGGTACAGGTTAGAGATTCAAACCGAAACCCAGGCCCTTCGGGATCCACAGGCCCTCTGCTGACACTCACCTCTGTTTCTAGCTATAAGCGCAGAGCCAAGAAACTGCCTCCCCTCACCGTCTGACGCTACCTTCTCTGTTTACTCTCCGATGTATTAATTCCTGAAGGATCGGGTAACAGGAGACACCGTGTGCCAGGCTCTGTGTTATGTCTTAAAGACCCAGAGCCACGCAGAAGAGGTCATGGCCTCCAAGGCACTTACGGTCTACTAGACGGGGACAGACACGAGAACCAGGAACATCAGTAGAGGGTGACAGGTATGATGACGCAGGGGCTCCCACGAAGCACCTGTACATTCTCGCCCCCTCCCTTAGCACCAGCACCAAGCCGGACGCGCAGAGTAAGCTCATTAAATGCCAGCTCCTTTTGACAGCCGGTCACATCAACCGACCTCGCTATCGCCAGCTAAGCCAGAGTCACCTGACGCGCAGGGAGTGCCTGACAGAACAGGCAGAAGATGTATGTACATGAGCCGTGAGACAGGACTTACGTTTCCTACGGAGCCCCCATGGGGAGCTGGAGAGACCGACCCCACATCACCGTCAAGATCAGGATGGAGGGCTCAGCCTTCACAGGAAACTGTGGTCCTCCATCCCCTGTGGGCATCCAGGCTGCAGGAATTCACGTGTCACTCAGCCAAGGCCTTCCTTAAAAACACCCGCAGCATCCAGAGACGTGCCGGGTGTGTGTAATTCCAGAGACTGCTTCCACCAGCATTATTCTCCAGGTGACTGAACATGGTTGCAAATCCCCACAGCTCAGACAATCTCGAATGAAGCTCCATGCAGCTGACAGGTGCCGCCATCGTGAGGGACAATCTTTTTGATTCTTTTCTGGTTAAAAGATCAGGCCTGGGGACAGGAAGAAGAAAAATCAATCTTCTTACAATCAGGAGAGTCAGTTATTCTTTCTTTATATTTGTCCCTAACATTCTTAGAGGAGAACTCTCTAAAAACAATGCCTGATTACTAGGTGTGGGACCCGAACCCAGGTAAGGTGGGAAACCGAGGGTCCTTCAGGGGAGTGTCACCTCCCACGGGCACCAAAGACCTTTCGGAAGAGGAACTTTCTACTGTGTAGGCTTCTCAGAACTATCCTGGGAGGGCAGAGGGGGCTGAAGTACGACCATTATAAAAATGAGAGGAGAAGGTTCTGGACAGGCCAGCAGCTGGCTGAAAAAGTTAACGGCACAGGGGGGCCTGGCACACGGCCCTGGACTCCCCTGCGGGACTGAGAGATCCCGGCCGTGAGCTGACGGGGTTTTGGGTCAGCTAGTAGGAAGTAGTTCTTTGTTTTGTTTCTTTTTCAAGACAGCCGCAAAGCCTTGGCGTGACTCCAGGCCTTGTCCTGAGAGGTCCGTCAGGGCAGACCTGGGCCTGGGCCCCTCTTATTCATTCACTCAGCAATGGCTGAGTGCCTACTAGGTGCCCAGTCCTGTTCTAGCTCTCTAGGGCGACCTTTGCCTCTCCGACCCAGTACGCTTAACCTATCACAGAGAAAACCGAAGCACAAATGGATCCACCATGCACAGGGCTCAAGGCTCCCAGCCACCAGCCACCCACGGGTAACAGTGACCGCCCTTGACAGAGGGCTTAGAACGCACCCTGCCCAAAGCTCTGCCACCATCCGATACAAACCCCTAACCGCACTGGGACTCCCGCCCCGATTTTCCAGAGGAGGGAACTGGGGTGCAGCCAACTCCTTTGCTCCAAACTGGTAAGCGTGGGGCCCAAACCTGAGGCCAGTCTGTCCCCCAAGTATGCACCCCGACTCACCACTCTGCGTTATGCGTGAAGGAGGCCTGCCCCGAATTGCTGACCTAAATCTGAGCAGGTGGCCGGGCCCCTGTTAAGAGCCTGAGGAGCCATCACTTCACGTGTCAGATGGAGGCCTCCCAGAAACCAAGGGCTGCCCATCCAGACTCCTCATACTTGCCCCTTTCCCATAGCCTCTTCAGCGAACGCCAAGAGTTGCCAGCCCGGGGGCATCGCACCAGAATGCCAGGGCTGGAGCCGGGTCAGCCGAGAGGGGCTGCTTCCCGTGAGAGCGGGGGCAGCGCTTTATAGTACCAGCCCCAGTTAATGGCAGTGGAGAGAACAACGGACACAGTCTGTTAGATATTTACTGAGGCCCCCAGGCAAGTCTGAAGTCAAGTTTGTTTTGTTGGGGTCCGGTACATTAAAGCTCTGTCACCTGGGGAGGAATTATTGCATGCTCTGCTGGGTATTAGGTGGTCCCTGACGGGGGACAGGGCAGCGCTGAGGCTCAGGTGACGAGGTGGCTCGCCACCTGGCAGTCTCTCAGTCAGTGTCTCTCTCTCTCTCTCTCTCTCTCTCTCTCTCTCCCCCCTCTTCCCTGCTTCCTGGGCTGGCAGGCCCAAATATGTCATTTCTTCTTTGACCCACCCCCCCAACACCAAGCATTTCCACCAGCTGACCCCCTTGTAGTGGACATGAAAAAAAACGAGAAACAGGATGCCTGCATTTCCTACCCAACACCAAGACAGCATCTTTGTATACCAAAGTCCCCTAAATTCGGGATGCACAGGGGGATGCTTAAGGTATCTTGGGCTGGCACAGACCAGTGAATGGGGTGCAAGGCACGGAGACAGAAAGCCAGGTCAGGAAGTCCCCGGCACCTGCACTGAGAGAGAAACACGTAGCTTGCAGTGGAAACCACAAAGAGCATCTCCTGGTATGTGTCGGGCTGTGTCCTCCCCTCTCTCTGCTTCTAGGTCTCCTTGACTCGTGCGTGTGTGTGTGTGTGTGTGTGTGTGTGTGTGTGTGTGTGTGTGTGTGTCTCCTCTCTCTT